GAAACATTTACCGAGTTAACCAAGAGATCAAAACAGGCCGTTTGAATGGTCACTTCTTAGTGTAATATTATGTCGATAAGAATCACGCTTATGAGAATATTGTGAAACCAGCATGATGAGACCACAGTCTACCCATATGCGCCTTGTCCTCCTCCTCTTTCTTCCTCATATTTCGAGCTTGGGCTACCTGTGGTTTCAAGATGTAGCACCCCCAAGAAATTCTTTTAACCAAAACATACTGTTCAATTTTACAAATCTTTGAAATGGTTATCAGCCTACCGCCGCCGAGTTTAAGAAGAGAGAATTATTGGCTTAAATATCCACGAAACAGCTAGGATAATGAAAGTACTGTTAAAGGGACTGTGTCACGATTGTGCGCATGTGTGAGCTGTGACAGTAGCTCATTGTCTTTGAACCAATAAGAAAAAAAAACGAGTAAGCTGCACGTGAGGAAATTTGCATAATTTAAGATTCATTGTTCGCGAAGTGGGAGTCTTCCGGACGTTTATGTTCGATTTTATATATATCCCCACAATTCATATTTATTCTCCGGTATTCGTCAGATAAATGTTGCAGATGATAAGAATAAGATTAACAACCCTGTCCTGCTTTGAAACAAACATTTATCTTCGTGTATTTTTACTTACCCACGCTAGAAAACCAGTCTCTGATCCGCAAACAAAAATAATTTGTAAACAAACCTTACTGATCTCTCTGTTTACCCTATATAAACTTAGAAATACCTGCAAATAGCTCCTGACCGGTGATCAAAACACACAGTATAGGATGAGGCAAACGTTTTGCTTAAAATGCCAGCTAAATGCGCGCTATAGTAAAATAAGCCATGCCATGCCGTCGGCTAGCTCAGTCGATTGATACCGGCTGAAAATCGTAGCATTGTTTAAAAGCAATTCTTAGCGCTTAATCATAAAACGCTTTCATTGCAATAGTAGCCACATAACGTATAAGTATAAAGATTATTCTAAAAGAACAACGCAAAAAAAGGAATAAACAGGAGCCCATAACTATGGCATAAATTTCAACTGCTTATCAGCAAATAAAAAAATTCCTTCCGAGTCGTTGCGTTGCGTGTTCCGCAAAACAAACGTTATCGATTCAACACATAAAGAAACCAGATGTTAAACGGAACATTCAGGGAACAATTTATTTTTAAAAGATCAATTCTTACACATCTATGCTCATACAGAAAAGATACAAGGAACATTCCCAGTGAACTACATCAGTAAAGATTGCGCGGCCTGTTGTCAGTACTTTCTACTGTACAAAACTCTCATGTTCGATGGTTCGTCTCCTCAAACCTCACACGACTTCGTGTACAACAAAAGATTGCTGAGTTTTCTCCTTCTGATTCCAGGCACTCGATAAATTAAATTGCTTCAGACAATCGGAAGTCATGTCGCAGATCAGCTTCACTCGCCGCTACGTGCCATTAGTAGTCCACGGCTGTATCGAGGAAACCCTTTTTAACTCCTCTTTACATATTTATCCTTTGAAAAATATCCGTCAAAGGTAGATAGTTGACTGGAGAACCTTGATAGACAGAAATGAAAGCCAGATGACCACATTAAAGGCCACATTTGATCCGTTTGTAGAAACACTGACAATAACGAACTTGGCCTCGTACGGTTGTCCTCAATGACTTCGAATTTTCTCGACAACACTTGCACAAAAGTACAAAATATGGCGTTTAAAACTTCCCAAATCGACCAAATAGCTCTTGAATACTGATATTATGGCTCCCTTGGGCGTCTCAGGGTCGATGGAAGAGGATTTCTTCACCAAACGCCAATCTTGAAAAACTGTCCGCCGGAGAGAAATCAATTTGCCGCACATGCGCAGAAGCGTGTCACAGTCCCTATAAGTGCCATGTGATACAAGCAGCTTTTGACGGACTGTGAGATTCCCAAGACAGCAGGGGATTTTTCGAAGCGAGTACTGCTTAATAGGTGGAAGGTACTAATGAGTTTTGTTTTACTAAGAGAAGTACACCATACCCCTCACCCTTGACTTCCTGGAAGTCTTAATAATAGATGGGTGATTTCTCGTTCTCGCTCAAGCGTCGCCAGGAGAGAATAACTCTCTCTTGTTCTCGCCTAATCTGAAATGATCTTGTATTTTCTTGCATCAGATAGACGCTTTTTAATTTGCCATCAAACAAATTATAATCCAGCCAGCTACAATAGCGACGCAGATCAGACAGCGCTCGCAACAGCTCTTGTATCGAAGTTCAATTCAAGATGGTGACCTAAGTCAGCTTACCAAATACTCTGAGATACTTTCATGTTCATGATGTAGCGCGTTCTGATTTCATTAAAGATATCCATAAGTTGATACTCTGAGCTTGCTATCTAAGCATATCGACACTTTTCTGTAATAATATGACATCCTATGGAGACTGTAAAGAGCTTTCGAGTCCATCTTTTAGGATTAAAACACTACCCAGCGTGATTAATATCTCAGTAAAAATCGGGCCACATATTCCAGTATCAGTACAGCTGTCAGTAGTATTTCCGGACCGAAAGCGCTACATAAACCTCAGGTAGGCCAAGCTCAATGAATCTATTGACGTTTGTAACGTAATCCCTGAACATGGTGATGACATTCCGCCATAACGAATATGTAAGTTGTACGGGGGTCTTGTATACAAAAACAAATATGCCATTATATAATACGCTGTAAATAGACCTTTTCACGAATTCTTTCAACTTTTGACATGGACAAGTTCGGGAAAATCCGTCAACACCACTGAAAAGAGCGCCTTAAAATTAATAAAATTGTCAAGTTTGAAAGTGATTTGTTGAAAACTAGTGAAGATACACCTCAAAGTCGCTAAATTTTACAGACGTTTGTATGGTGGAATGCAAGTTTGTGCCCCCACCACACAAACGCCTGTAAAATTTCGCGACTTTGCGGAGCTGTATCTTCCTAACTTGTCCATGTCAAAAGTTGAAAAAACCGTGAAAAGGTGTATTTGTTTGTCTTTGTTTGTCTTTTTTTTTTTTTCATTTCGGTTTCGGGTCGATTTGGGGACATTTCATGCGGTTTGACCTTCCAACGGCTGTGACACATCGGGGCCCCCTGATTTGATCCTGAATCCCACTAACGATTCAACAACAACAACATTAACTTTATTATATTGAACAGATATAATTACACCAATATGGGGAATTTAGGAAACCCTTACGGACTTTTACAAGATCCCCCTATTGTTTGGCTGGACGCCATATGCAGCATGATCTAACTATAAATCTAAGTATAAATTAATTTCAATTTATAAACTTGCACACCACTAAGCATTCTCTAAACACTGTTGTGACAAAAGATACTTTTTTAATTTCTTTTTTATACTATATTGTGATTTTGTGTTGTTTAAGTCTTCTGGTATAGCGTTCCACAAATTCGTCCTTTTACACTGTATTGGATAATGGCCGTAGTTTGTTTTGTAAAACTGCTTATGTATATTTTTGGAATCGATAAGACAGGTTCCAGAGAAAAGGAATCTACCCTGGGTGCCAGGGGCGTTTCTAGCGAGGGGTCCGGTTTCTGTCAAGTCTTTATGTCTTCGGCCAACACGGAAAATTCCCGCCGCATGCGAGAAAAACCTCTGGTACCCAGGGTAAAAAGAATCCGGAATCAGGGCTAGAATTCAAGCCTGTCTTAGAGGACCTCACATTTGGCGAATTAAGACCTAAGCCAAACGTCGAACTTTTCATGAGAAGAATCGAAGGCTAAAACACCACACGGGTACATGCGGGTAACATACGGGTACTCCATACGAGTAACACACGGATACATCCGAATACCTACGGGGAACATACGGACAACATACGATTAACACACGGATACATACGGTTACATGCGAGTACCTAGGAATAACATATGGACAACATACGGGTAATATTTGTAGTCGTTATCGATCTCGAAATTGAAAGCTGTATACTGTTTGGGCTCGATTACCAGCCGCTGTTCGGGAAAATGAACCCGCACTCATCAAAGACCGGACCCGGGAGACGGCGGAAATCGAGCCTACATACTGTTGTGAGTAAATAGCTGCGGGTACATAACTCGGATCGCGTGAATAAGTACCTTGACGAGTTTAAGAAATTGTACACTGGTTTTAGGGCTCGATCGCGGACCATGTTAATCTGACATCCTCCCCACCAACTTCGACAAGTATTAAAAGTGATCATGAACGTGTTCTTGGCTATTCATGATGGCATAAGCCAGTCAAGCCTAAAAATAACAAAAATCGCACTACCTGTGGGCTCCATTTTTGGGGGGGGGGGGGGACCAGTGGTGGCTAAGGCTAAGTTCCAATAAAAGATGTACTGTATTTCTTGTTAGTGAAAAATACTTGTTGTTTAAGTTTAATTTACATTACGGTATTAAGTGCTCATGGGTATAAAGTTCGAGTTTTTCAACTAAAAGTCAGAGTCTATGCTTCGGTGAGACTCTGTTAAAAAAAAATTCACACACGAGAAACTAAAAGTCAAACGGTCCATGCTGCGGTGAGACGGTTCAAAAAAAGTTTATTCACTGCACTCGCGAACTGTTTAGGTGAACCACAAAGAAACATAACAGAGTCATACACTGCCAGGGAGTAATTTTCTTTATGAATGTTCTTTGCCTTTCTTAACGGCTGTCAGTCGGCAAGCAGTAACCTTTTCATGTTTCGTTCCTCGAAAGTCAAGAGAGAGCTCTCCGTCTTTATCAGTGTATGGAGCTAGATACTTTTGCAATCCCTCTTCAGTAGGAAGGGAAGGATTAAACAGGCCACATGTAATCGACCATTGACACTCGAGGAACTCCTGAACGGTTTCGAAGACAGGCCCCTTGCAGTGGATGTCAAAACTCCGAATGATTTCAAATCCCGCCAATAAACAATACCGATCAATCTTCGTCTTTGACTCAAAATGAAACAAAGGAAAAATACGCTCTGCGTTCTCCGGGTTCAGTAGCACGTAAGCGTTGTAATCAAACTAGGGCAGATAGGACATGTATTGAACTGTTAATTTTCCACCAACCTTAAGACTTTGAAACATGTTGTTGAAGACTTGTTGCTTGTTACCCATCCAATGAAGAGCACAGTTACTGAAAACGATGTCGTAGACTTCAGCGCCAATTCCTGGGAAGTTTATAGCACTTCGTTTTACGAATGAGAGATTCTCGATTTGATTGTGAGTCTCTTTGGCCAGCTGAATTCGCTCCTTATCAGGATCGACACCAATAACTTTTCCTTCGGGTCCTACCAGCTCAGCTAGGTATGCAGACAGTTCTCCTGTACCGCAGCCTAAATCCAAGATGACATCTCCAATTTTGGGGCAGACATCTGTTTGGATAAACACTTCACCGTCCACTTTTTGCTCGGAAAGCGAGCTTTGTTGGTAACCGTCAGCTGCACTTCGTTGCATTTTCTTTTACGAGTTGACGAAACGGCTATAAGAGATCGAATGGGAAGGTGAAGTTGAACAAAAGTGTGAAAAGCCTGCTTATACAGAATGTATAGCAAAGTATGCATATATTTGTCTCTCAACACTTTACGTGACTTAAAAGTCCTACGTGCTTCATTGTATCCGAGTTCTATTTGAGGTGACCAGAATTAGTTTGGAATAAAATGAAAGTTAATAAAGTTTAGACCAGTTTATTATGCTTCTTCTTACTATTGCAGTGGTCAGGTTTTACACCTTGGCGGCTTGTCAGTAGTATTCATATATTTTAACGCCTTTTCACATGAACACGGTTGACAAGGCTGGCCCGGTTTCCGAGATCTCGCCTTGCCTCTAAATCCTCTGTAAAAATTTCGATGTGTTCATATGAGAGAGGGGGCTAACTCGGTTCCAGCGATCTCGGTTTTTCCAACGGAGATCTCGGTAAATGAGCTGGAAAGTTTGCCATATCAGCACTTTAGCCTGGTTACAGGGATGAAAGCAGGAAAGCGTGAAATGAAACGTAGTTCATAGTAATAAACTACAATAATAGTATACACAACGACAGACTCCTGTACTATCGAAAGGCGAGGAGGGTCTTCCGACGTCAGACTCCCAACTTCCGACTTTCGACTTCCAACTTTCGTAGCAGTGAAAGGCGGTGGTAGGCCTACACGACTTTTACCTTATGCTAAAATGCTTATATCGTTCCAATAACTTTTTTTTCCCTTCTGCTGGGTAAACTATGCTCTGGGAGGTTCTGGTTAGGCCGCCTGTTTCACATTGAGAAGTCATGGCACACATATCAATTTACTGTGGTTTTTGTTTCTGGTCGTCAGGATTTGTCCTTTGATGCAAGAGCATATTCTCTTAATAATAATAATAATAATAATAATAATAATAATAATAATTTTAATAATAATAATAAAAACAAAACTTTATTCATAGATTTAAAAAAAAATAGACTATTTACAGATTCAAGAATATGAAATATTAAAATATATACCCTATGTACATTTTTCTTGTCTACGAAAGAGAATTGTTGTAAAATGACTATCTAAAGACTACTAATAACAATTATAAAAAGGATCAAAAAGTTGATAAAAAAAATAAAAAATATTAATATAATAATAATATATAATAATAATAATAATAATAATAATAATATTAATTTTTTAGATGAAAAAATTTTATTGACAACAATGCTAACTATTAAAACCCTATTTACAATTAATTTGCTTGAAAAAATAATAATGGTAATAATAATAATAATAATATAATAATAATGGAATTTATATAGCTCTTATACATCGCTGTTCTAAGCGCTTTACAATGTAAAAAAAAGGACATAAGAATATCATTACAGCGGTTACCACTAACACGCGCCGTCAAAGGGTTTTTTCTTCAGTTCAAACGTGTGTTTTGGTGGACGTCAATCAACCGCTACCATGGTTTTTCACTCGTTGGCCTAGAGAAGATTCCCTATCCCTTTCTCGGGCACTCGGAAGAATATGTCGGCGTTTCAGCCGTTTTTGCAATATTTTGCTACAGGATCTGACACCGCTTCATGTCAAGATTACGCGAGGAGTATGAATTTGGTGAGTGTTTTCGGAGGAAACTCAAATTATCGACACATTTACACACTGTAGGTTACAACCACATAAGCTTTCTCAATACACGCTCGCAACTCGTCTGAGTTCTTGCTAGTTCTGGATTCTATTCGATAACTTGAAGAATGATAAATAGTAAAATTTATTTTCAAAAACAGTCTCCATTCAGAGGAAACTTTTTCCCTTTTCGGTGTGATATCTTTCGTTTCTTTGAATTTATACTAGCTTCTTGGCAATTCGTCCACGGCTCCCGTGTTTTCATACAGTCAAGTTAACAAACAACCTGAAAACCGTTACGTAAACTATAGAGAACGTTTAATTCCGCTATTTCACTCAGCTCGCAGAGAACTCATTGTTTTAACAATGTAATCCTTCATCTTAATAATAATAATTTAAAAAGCCGCCGTCGTTCGAAATTATTCTTGTAAGTCTTCGCCCTTCAT